CACTGGGGATCTAACACCATCTTCTCTGTGTACATCCACACACATGTGGCATTCAGGCATTTAATTACACAGACACACATTCATTTAAATAAAATAAAAATAAATCTAAAAGCAGCCTTGCACAAATGTCAAAGCAAAACTTCTATCTTTTCAGGGGAAAATCTGATAGAATAGAAACAGTCTTTAGTTGAAAAGTAATCTAAGAATTTTAAAAAAAGTGTTTTGATAACTGAGTTTAATTTCTACTGTACCCCATGTACGTAGCCATGGCAACAACAGACCCAGATACATGATGAAAAAAGCAATCCTTCACATTATGGCTCTGATGTGGTTTTAATTTCCTTAAGGAAATGACTAACATTAAATCAGGGCTTTTCCTTTTTTTCCTCATGAAAATCAAATCAACACTGCAGGGGAACAGTATTCAACCTGTGCAATTAAACACCAGAATTTTTTTTTTTCCAGAAAGTTCTGTCAACATTTCCCTGTTCAAGAACTGACATTTAGGTTTTTTACAAATCAATGGACATGCCATGTCCTCCCTTTCCTCCTCCCGTCTGAAGTGTCAGTCAATTAATGGACTTCCTTTATAATAATTTCAGACCTGTCCTGGCCACCACCACCACTGGCCACATGGGGCTGCTGGGCATTTCGAAGTCACTGATCTAAACTTCAATATTCTGAAGGTGTAAAAACATACTGGACTTCAGACATATAGTAAAGGTGGGGGGCAGAGCATATCTCAATAATAATTTTATTTTGACTTCATGTTGAAATGAAGTTTTGTAGGTATGTTAGGCTAAATAAAATGCAGTACTAAATCTGGACCAACTGTGTGGCCTTAAACACCCAAAAGGAAAGTATAACCAAAGATCAAAGGGGCCAATATAATTTCATAAGAGTCCATATGTATAGCTAAAGGCTACATAACAAGCAACAATACCAGACACACGATACCTTCTTTTGAGTTGTTGGACAGGGTGGCCAAAGGGATTCCCAGATAGTAACCCAGCATAGAACTGGGAGATTGAACAGCAGACCCCAATTG